TGTGGTATATTGTTCTATTCATATCAAGATCCAATCATCTCCTCAGTTCTCCTATCAAAGGTTCTCGACGTCAGGACTACTTGTCCTCGCCTACAAAACCAGCATCATCACCAACGAAACGTCCGTGGAAATAATTCACAATTTTGACGGCCCAAAACTTCCAGACTCTCGTTTACTGAGAATAAAACCGTCTACCACTGATTTATTGGCCAATACGAACTTTACCTTCATGAAGAATGATGAAGATCGCACTCAGATGACGTTTAGATAATTACTTCCTCGTACTTGGCTGTACCCTGATGATTACGGTATGTACCAACAGGAAAGATACCCTTTTATGTAGAGCAATGAAAACAATCCTGAAATATGAAGCTTGTAACAAAGGCATTACATGTTATGAATTTCCCGTATACTACTTGTTGTTCTAGTCTTGTTTCAACTTTGGTGTTGAATTGAAAAGTTTTGCAAAAGCGCTTACTCTTTAGGCTTGTGTCACCACCACTTGTACCTATCTCTTACCACATCCACAAGTTACCTCAAAAGGTCACGGTGTATACTTTTTATTCACCAACAATATCGTACATACCCTGGAAATTATAGAACATATCTATGGCAGGGGTATCACTCTTCAACGGATGGACTCCAAGAAAAGTCAAATCAGAGGATGTTATTAAACTCATGGATGGCGACATCAATCCTTTCACAAATAGACCCCTTAGCGCCTCTTACAAAGCTATCTTAGAAAAACGCAAGAACCTGCCTGTTTACGGATATATGAAAGAATTCTACAAAATTGTAAGTGGCTCCATTCTCCGTGATGAATATCGTAATAAATTTGATTTTTAGTTTAATGAAGCCCAAATCACTGTGATGGTGGGAGAAACTGGTGAATTTCTTATAATTCTCGATGAAGCGGATCTTTATACTTACTTTGGTTAAGGCAGTGGAAAGACCACCCAAATCCCTCAGTTTGTAGCATATTCCGACCTACCTCATCTCAAAGGAAAAATGATAGCTTGCACTCAGCCTCGTCGTGTTGCTGCGATGTCCGTTGCAAAACGTGTGGCTGATGAAATGGATGGTAAATGAATCAACCGTCCGATTATGCTAGGCTCATGATTTAAATAGTCGAACTGGGAAGTGAAGTGGGATATTCCATACGATTCGAAGATATGACAGACCCAAAAACAACTTTCCTCAAAT